CCATGATCTAAATTCTAACTCTTTATTTCAACTTCCCCCCCTTGCCTTCCACAATGCCATGATCTAAATTCCAACTCTTTATTTGAACTTCCCCCCCTGCCTTCCACAATGCCATGATGCAAAATCTAGCTCTTTATTTAAACTTCCTCCCGCTTGCCTTCCACAATGCCATGATCTAAATTCCAACTCTTTATTTACACTTCCCCCCCTTGCCTTCCACAATGCCATGGTCTAAAATCCAACTCTTTATTTTAAAACTTTGATCTAAAATCTGACTTTTTATGAACTTTCCCCTCCCTTGCCTTCCACAATGCCATGATCTAAAATCTAACTCTTTATTTATAGTTCCACTCTTGCCTTCCACAATGGCATGATCTAAAATCGAACTCTTCAGTTCCCCCCTTGCCTTCCACAATGCCTGATCTAAATTCCAACTCTTTATTTAAATTTCCCCCTTGCCTTCCACCATGCCATGGTCTAAAATCTAACTTAAACTTCCCCCCGCTTGCCTTCCACAATGCCATGATCGAAATTCCAACTCTTTGTTTCAATTTCATCCCCCTGCCTTCCACAATGTCATGATCTAAAATCTAACTCTTTATTCACCCCGCTTCGCGTGGGGTGGCCGCCCACACCGCAGGTTTATTTCGGTCCGTGAGAGGGGCTAAGGGTGGTTTTCCCCCGTGGGGGCTCCCCAAGCTAAGAATTTTCACTTTCCCCTCCCGTGGGGGCTCCCCAAGCTAGGGAATTTTCACTTTTCCACCCCGTGGGGGCTCCCCAAGCTAGGGAATTTTCATTTTCCCCCCCCGTCAAGTGGGGGCTCCCCAAGCTAGGGAATTTTCACTTTTTCCCCCCCGTGAGGGCTCCCCAAGCTAGGGAATTTTCACTTTTTCCCCCCCGTGGGGGCTCCCCAAGCTAGGGAATTTTCACTTTTCCCCCCCGTGGGGGCTTCCCAAGCTAGGGAATTTTCACTTTTCCCCGCCGTGACAGCTTCCCAAGCTATGGAATTTTCACTTTTCCCTCCCTTGGAGGCTCTCCAAGCTGCGGAATTTCAAATAGCTAGACAACGACGCCTAGATAGTCCCCCAAATCCCGTGTTCTTTGAATGTGTTTCCATGTTTTTGCAATGGTTTCCTTCAAAGCACGGTACTTTACACTTTTGTCGCCATAAAACCGGTCGAAAACATCATGTTCGACAATGCTTCCAATTCCCTTATCTCCCCAACCGTTGAAAATACCGCTATTTACAGTGTTTTCTTCAATTTTTCCATGTGCCAATGCCGGTAGCCAACTCCAACATCTATATAAGAAATCCTTCCAAAACATTGTTTTTGACAGTGTTTTTCCAATGTTTCCAGTCAAACAGACGGTAATTTACACGTTTTTTGCCATAAAGGCAGTAAATCCTTCCAAAACATTGCTTTTGACAGTGTTTTTGTAATGTTTCCAGTCAAGCATACGGTAATTTACACGTTTTTTGCTATAACGTCAGTCCAAAACACTTGTTTTTGCAGTGTTTTCAATGCTCTGGCATCCAAAAACCCTGCAAAATCTTGCTATGAATGTTTTTTTCATTTTTGGCCGTTTTTCCATTGCCGGAAAGCTACCAAAATGACTCAAAATTCCATTTCAATACCCTCTTGCGCTCAGACACCCAAAAATCATCGAAAAATGTCGAAAACACCACCGTATTCTGGTCTCGGTGCGAAACCGTTTTTGGCCCCCCCCAGCTAAAGCTGATATAGCGACCTATATTAACAAATGTCATTGAGCATTTAGTGTTGCTGTTGCCCCCCAATAAGCACGCCTTCACCGCCAAAGCGGTGTGGGCGGATTTAAACTTCCCCCTCCTTGCCTTCCACAATGCCATGATCTAAATTCTAACTTTTATTTAAACTTTCGCCCTTGCCTTCCACAATACCATGATCTGAAATCTAATTCTCTTGCCTTCCACACGACTGCCCCCAGGCAGTCGGTGAGAGGCCCTTCAGGAAGGTACCTTAAGGGAGGAGCTTGAAAAATTGAATTTGAAGGTCCGTTGAGGAAGGCTTCGAAGCCCCCTTAAGGTGCCTTCGAAGCCTTCCCCACGACTGCCAATGCAATTTCAGTAAGTCCTACATATGCTTTACCGTCAACGTGGGATACCCACGGCTGATGGCCCAACATCCCGCCCATGCCCAACCTGCACGTGCCTTCCTGTACCATTCAACGGTCCTACTGACCAACATGGGATACCCATGGCTGGTTTGCACGCCCCTGGCTTACATTGCATCCAGTGTAATGTCGTAGTTGCCTTCATTACCTTTTTAATTCTTGTGATGTTTTGTAAGTAGGAGAAGGTTGGGGTCCCTCGCTTGCACCTGTTGGTAAGGGAGGGATTGCCTTGGGAGGAGAAGGGTAACTAACTAGCTGTAGCTAGGGTAGATGATGTCAAAGTACATCCGCGCCATGGCGTCTTGGAGTTCCTCATCCAGCATTTGCCAGCATAATGGAACAGCACTGTCTTCGAGTGTCTTCGAGTGTGAGACCATGCAGCCATTTTGCAAACCGCGGATCACCTCCCTTTCTTACATTTGAGGCCGGATACGAAGGCTGTTGAGGCATTGACAAGCTGTGCGCAGCGTTCGTAGGTCATGTTCGCTGAAGATTCCAGTTAAAATTTCTGTTCTCTGCAATGAAGCAGATGTTTGTTCGAGCATCATTTGTGCTTGGGAAACGTTTCGAACATAATCTTGCAGCAGAAGGAGATTGCGTGCTTCACTGTTGCTCGTTGATGCCGGCGGCGGCTGCGTTGATTCATCCATCAGATCATGTTCCCTGTGTCTTGGGGCCGTGTACGGCATGTCAGTCTGCTGGTTGACAGCAGCCTCTTCCATTGCAGGTTAGCGTTGAAGCCAGAGCGAACACAGTAGAACGTGCAATGATTGAGCAGCAGCTGCAGTTTATGCAATCAAGGGTGCAGCCAGTTCCCACCGAAGACCTCCGCACAGCTGACACCAGCTGCCCTTCCAGAACCTATGCCGACCATTTTATGTCGCAAGATCATCCTTACTGACCATTTAGAATATGAACACTTTGGTGCCACTCGATTACGACCTGTTGACAACCTATTCGATGAACACTTTGGTGCCAGTCAAAGATGAGGATGATTGGAAAAGCACTACTGAGCGGATTCTGAGTGTGCCCTGAGTGCCTTAGTATAGTTTGCTCGACATTACTTCTCACCCTAGATCCTTCTCACCGTCGCTTTCTTTAGTGTCTCACCACTTCAGTTGCTACACGGCGTTGCCGTTGCTAGCATCGAAGTGTTTTTTCATGTGAGTTGTCATGCCTTGAAGGCTTGCTCTATGTGATCTCGGGGATCCTGGCTGGGGGGATCCCTGGTTTCCGCATAGTGCTGTGTTGCTTCACTCACACAACGGTATGGCATTGTGTTTTTTGTGTCTCTGTTTTCCGTTTTGTTTGGTTTCGCCATACCTATACTTGAGTTCATACAATGCTATCACCTCTTTCTCATCGATAGTCACTGAACTGGACCGCCGATCACTTTCCTCTTTGTGTTTTTGGTGCTTGTTTTTTGTTTGGTTGTGTTTTTGTGTGTTCTGTTGCTTTGGGTGTTTTGTTCCTGTTTGCTGTGTTTTTGTTTGGAATCGTGACGGCTGCTGGACTACGTACAGGTCCCATACCAGTTCACTCTTGTGGCCCCCTACCAATGGCGGCTATTTGTATGCACCAATTAGTTAATTTACCTGTTCTATGCAACATGCAATCGAACGTGTTGAACGACCTGGCGAAAGCCAAGAGGCGTTGGACGGAAAAAAAAACATCTGGGTTTCCAGCCCTTTGTGGATCCAGGACATTTTGGACAAAGAAGATCAGCAAACCATTGCTGTAATTTTCCATTGCAATCATAGGATCCATGTGCATTTCAACCCAGGTGAGTGTTGTGTGACGTACTGGAACGGAGTTGTCCTTCCTCCAACATACGGATAGGTTATGTCAGGTCGTTGCCCAAAGTTGTAAAGCAAAACGAAATTTGTACCAACTCAAGACATCACTGGTTGGTGCGGGTTTCAAGCATTGGCCCAGCTGTTCTCCATTGCCGCGCGTTGCGGACATGACCGTTGCCGGAGATAACAGGTGGACACCCATAACTCTAAAGATCCCTTCCCGGACGTAGACGGGGTTCTTAAAAAACAATCGACCAACTTGAATTCTAGCGATAACATTTAATCACCCATGGGCCCATGGTTCCCTAATTTCAATGTTGTGTGAAAGCACTGCTTGGCGCGAAACAACCACATTTGGTCCAGCCTTTGAGGAGCAATGGGTAGCAGCATTGAAACACTGGTTTGCGGGCTTCCAGCGCATGTTAAATTTTTTTGGTCGATGGCTATTTTTTTGAAGGGCCCGGTATTTGGAAAATCGACGATTGAGGGCAACTGCGGGCAACTGACAATTGAACCAATTTCATGTCTACAACTTGCTGAAACTTGGTGGAATCAACCATGGTAGCGCAAAACAGTTTTTTGCGAACTAATTCCCACACATGGAAACTGTAGAGATTGACGGGGCAGTTTGAACGTTTGGGGTCTATGGAATGTTGGATGGTTCGTAACTTGGCTCGAGTCCACGTTGGTGCATCAAATCAGTCAACATGAGGCCGGGTAAGGAAAGGATCGCGCCCATTTATCACAGCGAAACGTTGTGTCTATGTTAACATTCACACCGAACGATTTTTTTTCCATTGCTTGCAGCGACTTAAACAACATGAATTGGAGACATGGTTCGGTCTGATGAGCGGTGACAAACCTTTCAACCGTCCGCAACAAACTTAAACAATCGTTGTGCCTTAGTCCGGTGGATTGCATCTTTAATTGAGTTTGGAGGGAAAATCCATCAAATTTCATGAATCAATGCCTTGTTTTATCCTGGTACATTTGCCATCATGCTTTGTTGGGGACACATCCACACTCGTGCTGGTCACAGCAGAGTTGGCCATGCGATCTTCAAGGCGGCGATGCCATCTGTGGCGGTTTGGTGCCATTGCTTCAGCTGTGACAGCGCGGGGCTCAACAGCAGCCAGCATGCAGACATTTAATTTGGTCATATTTTGTCCAGTCACGTGGGGATACTGCAACAGGTTCCTTTCCGGGACTTTTCGCATTAAACCTTTAAGATCCTTTAGGCAAACTCGTCATCTTGGCCTGGGTCCTCCAATTTTTTAAGACACCAAATACAGTCTTGACATCATCCAGACTGTGTTAGGCGAGAATTCGGTGAATTGTTCAAACATTGGATGTTCTGTTCATGGTTTGAATGATGAGGAAAATTCCCATTTTGATTTAACCCATATTTCCCATCATACCATTTTGATTAGATATCCATTGGCATTTCCACAAATTGCAAGGGGGATCGTGCTTGATAGGTACTGCACCTTCGAAAGATTCTGGTTGCGCCGCTGTGCTTTGCCTTGCCGCAGGTCGGGGAATGAATTTTAATCATTTTAATTCATCAGACAGAGCGGAGGCATTGCGGATTCTCCCCCAAAACAATGCAAATACGATCAAACACAGGACATCAAAAACCTGGTTTTCTGTGGGAAATTGATGATGGAACAAAATTGACCCGGTTTGCAAGTCCGAAACAACCAATTTTTTGTGTTGCATCAGGTCTCTCCACCGAATGATGTGCGTGAAACTCGGTTTGTTGCTGCAAGGAATTTTGCATTTTTCGATCCGCAAGTGCTGCCTGTGTTTGAGTGCAAAACGAAAGGTTGTAATTAGTTGTAATACGTGGTAATTGGATGTAATTGGCCCTTTTGGGCATTTGGCCATTGCAGTAAAAAAAAATAGTGAGATAGTGAGTTGTCAAACAAAAAAAACCCAGCAAAAAAAACAAATGTGTTCAGGCAGGCATGTGTGACAATCAGAGGTTAGTGAACAACCTGTCAATTCGATGATCAGAACTGACCACAGCGGATTGCTAGCGGGTTACACTTCTGCGATAATCCAATCAGTGGGCGTTAACAACAAAAATTGTCAAAATGCAATTGCCAGAGGGGATGTTTTTTCCTACTTGTTATCGGCTCAAGGGTGATACTAGCTGTGTGTTAGTTTCACCACCCGCGTGAGCCATGCTCGCAATGCAGTTTGTAGGCCAGCTACCGCCCCTTAGTCGTTTTTTTTGGCAACCAGGGATGTTGTGCCTTTGTCTCATTGAATCAGACTTGGTCATATCACACACACACACTGCTGATTTATCCTATTGGATTGAGAACATATGCAGATCTCTGAAATCCGAAATTCTGGTGGTTCTAGTCATGACTTGGATCCCAAAGAGCAATTCCGATTGACTTGAAATGGGTGAACCCCTGGAGGCCTGATGCTGGGTGCCACCCTGGCCCATGCCAAGCAGCTGGGGGGCCTAGTGGGGCGGTGGTGGTTGAATGCTATTTTCAGTGACACACCCATTGGATAATATGTTGATAGTTGATAGTTTTATAGTTGATAGTTGATAGTTGATAGTGGATAGTTGATAGTTGATAGTTGATAGTTGATAGTAATGTTGACATGTTCATCATTTTGTGTATGTACTAGTATGCACTCATGATAATAATTCCAGCATCCTCCTAATATGGGTCCATTTTGCAGCTAGTATTCATACCATTTTTCTCTATGGTTCGTTGATCTACCTCCGAGATGGCTAGGTTTGAACCAAACACATTTAGCAGTGAGCATTGGAGTGCACGGAGAGATTCCATGGGTAAACAGCTTTTTAACACATTGAAAAAAATCTGAATGTGAATTCCGACTAGGCAAATTCTTGAAGTTTGAAGCTCTTCAATGCTCTTCAACCCTTCAAATATGTTTGACATATCATTTAGGTCACTGAAAGATTTCCGAGATGTGGAAGACGATTGTTTTTGGGCCCTGAACCTTGGCTCTCCGACCAAGGTTCATGGCACCCAGTCCCAAGCTCAGGGTCTTGGTTCCGATCTACGGCTGCACCTGCCATGAGTTGCCCAGATAACCCTGTGGAGATGGGGATATCAAACAGATGTCAACCAACCAATTGGAACATATGATGACCAAACCATTGGTTGGTCACGGTTTTCATCATTTCTTACCATCATTTAAATCGAACCTTTGTGACTCGGGGCTAAGGCGCAGCCTCTGCGCCCAGTCATGAGGCAGTCGTTGGTCACATCATACTGTAATGGGTTCGGAAATGATACGCCCATATTGGGTCACCTATGAGTTGTCTATGTTTCAATGACCATGGGCCAAGCCATTTTTTTGCCCCATTTTTGGACAAGACCATGTCTACAAGCTGTGCAAGGGTTCAATTTTTGGGCCTGGGGGCTTTGTGGTCATTTTTGGACTCTGCCGTGTGGAGGCCTTCACAGCGCTCTTGCGCGTGAAGGGAAAGCCCTTGGATCCCATGGTGTTGGGAATCTCAGCTGAGCGCGGTTGCTGAAAGAAACGACTTCTCTTCAAGGTACCAATCATTGATGTTCCAGGCACTTTTGATGGCCAACTTTCCCATGGTTTCCCTAAAAATCTCTGCAGTTTTCGAGGGGCAGTGGAAGGCCATTGAGTCGACACACACTGTGAATCCAGGTCCTCTCTGGCCGCCATGGCTGAATCGATCTCCAAGCAGGAGCCAAACTTCCAAAATGGAGATGGCAAGCAATTTGCCACGTGGATTTAAGCTGTTTCTAACATGGGGGTCATGATCATCCTCATCCTCATGCATCATCCAATTTCACGAACTGCAGGCGGTTACTGCAAAGGTCTCTAGGTGAAAAGGAAAGTGGAATCTAGGATCTTCTAGGCGCATTTCACTAGGTTCATATGCCGTGGTTTTAGTACGGTCAAGGTTGGGCAGCTTGTACCGATTGTGGTGCACCAGGAGCCATCTGCGAGAGAGCAGTCAGTGAACTCCATCAAGACTTTGCTCCAGGGACTTCTGGACAGTATCACTAGCCACTCGGCAACGGTGAACATAAACCTGTAATGAGAAGCCTTGAAACGACTGGAAAAACCGAAAAAAAACGACTGATATATATAGATTTATATAGATAATTCATACAATAATATATATATAATAAAATTATATATATGTAATATACGTATTAGTATTATATAATTATACTATAATATAATATATAGTATATAATGTAATATTCAATATTATATATTATATTATACCGACCGGCCGAAAGATAGAATATTTTTCACTACCAGACACGCGAGTGAGAAAATTACCATCGGCTTCCCACTCGGAAAAAACACCACAAGATAGAATATTAATATAGAATATTCACAAAAATTCACAGAACACCCCCTTGAATATTCTATCTTGTCAATTTCGTGCATGCCTGTGCAGAAAACTTTGAAACTACTGATGATTTTTGAAGCAACAGGGTGCTACTTTGAAATGATGTTAAACAAATTCTGCTGTGGGATTTCCAAAAATTCTGAATCCAACATGTTCCAATATGGGAACACCCCCTTGAATATTCTATCTTGTCAATGTCGTGCATGCCTGTGCAGAAAACTACTGATGATTTTTGAAGCAACAGGACGCCAAGTCAACATGCCAGAAAAAACAAGGAAACACGATGAAAAAATTAAAAGCAAGAACAATGAAAAATGATGAACAAGAGAGAAAAAAGCAAGAACAAATGATTAAACAGAGTGAAAAAAAACAATGAAACATGATGAACAAGAGATAAAAAAACAAGGAAACATTATGAAAAATACAGAAACAACAATGAAAAATGATGAAAAAGAATGAAAAAACAATGAAACATGATGAAAAAAGGGTCCAAAAACAATGAAAAATGATGAAAAAGAGAGAACAAACAATGAAACATGATGAAAAAGAGAAAAAACACACAATGAAAAATGATGAAAAAGAGAGAAAAAACAATGAACACTTATGAAAAATAGAGAAAAAAACAATGAACAATGATGAAAAAGAGAGAACAACCAATGAGACATGATGAAAAAGATAGAAAAAAACAATGAAAAATGATGAACACGGGAGAAAAAACAAGAAAAATGATGAAACAGAGTGAACAAAACACTCAAACATGAGAGAAAAAACACTGAAAAATGATGAAAAAAGGTACAAAAAACAATGAACAATGATGTGGTGACCAAGAGAGAAAAAACAAGAACCACTGATGAAAAAAAATGAAAAAACAATGAAACATGATGAAAAAGAGAAAACAAAAAAAACAATGAAACATGATGAAAAAGAGAGAAACAAAAACAATGAAAAATGATTAAAAATGATGAACGTGTTTTTTCATTGTTTTTGTTCTCTCTTTTTGATCATTTTTCATTGTTGTTTCTCTAGTGTTCATCATTGTTCATTGTTTTTTCTTCTCGTTTTCATCGTTGTTCATTGTTGTTTCTCTATTTTTCATCATTTTGCATTGTTTTTTCTCTCTTTCTCATCATGTTTCATTGTTATTTTCACTTTTCTTCATCATTTTTTTTGTTTTTTTCCTCTTTTGTTTATCATGTTTCATTGTTTTTTCCTCTATTTTTCATCATCGTTCATTGTTTTTTCCTCTCTTTTTCAACATTCTTCATTGTTTTTTCTTTCTTCTTCATAATTCTTCATTTGTGTTTCTCTATTTTTCATAATTGTTCAGTGTGTTTTTTTCTCTCTTTGTCATCATTTTTCTTTGTTTTTTTCTCTATTTCATCATTTTTCATTGTTTTGTCTCTATTGTTCATCATGTTTCCTTGTTTTTTCTATCCTTTTCATCATGTTTCATTGTTTTTTCCACTCTTTATCATCATTTTTTATTGTTTTTTTTTCTATTTTTCATCATGTTTCATTGTTTTTTCTCTCTTGTTCATCATTGTTCATTGTTTTTTCTCTCTGTTTCATCATGTTTCATTGTTTGTTCTCTCTTTTTCGTAATGTGTTATTGTTTTTTTTCTCTTGTTCACCATGTTTTATTGTTTTTCCTCTCTTTTTCATCATTTTTCCTTTTTTTTCCTCTTTGTTTCATCATTTTTCATTGTTTTTTTCCTTATTTTAAATTGTTTTTCAAGGTTTTTCAACTGTTTAATGTTATTTTTGAGCTTTGATAAGGCTTAAAAATACGAAAACGGACAAGATGGAATATTTTCGAGACCCTGGCGTGACATGGCTCCAAATTATATATTTGGAAGCCTTCCATTGCGTGGATTTTTTTTCCGTATGTTTCATTGTTTTTGTTGTATTTGTCATATTTTTTTCATTGGTTTTCACTTTTTTCCATCATGTTTCATTGTTGTTCATTGTTTTTCAATTGTTTAATCTTATTCTTTGAGCTTTGATAAGGCTCAAAAATAAGAAAACGGACAAGATAGAATATTTCGAGACCCTGGCGTGACATTGCTCCAAATTATATATATATGTATTTGGAAGCCTTCCATTGCGTGGATTTTTTTTCCGTATGTTTCATTGTTTTTGCTGTATTTTTTTCATATTCCTGGCATATCAGATAAAACCAACAATTTTGCTAGGTAAATCCCAAAATATTCAGTCTTGTTTCCACCACGTTTTGCGTTAAAACCGCAAATTGAGGGTGTGAGGTGCGACCACGCGGTGGACCGGCAACAGCTGTGAATTGCGGGTAGGGATGGCTCCAACTGACTTAAACCCAATAAAACCTATACAACCGCCATATATATATATACCGACCGCCTGAGAGATAGAATATTTTTCACTACCAGACACGCGAGTGAGAAAATTACCATCGGCCTCCCACTCGGAAAAAACACCACAAGATAGAATATTAATATAGCATATTCACAAAAAATCACAGAACACCCCCTTGAATATTCTATCTTGTCAATTTCGTGCATGCCTGTGCAGAAAACTTTGAAACTACTGATGATTTTTGAAGCAACAGGGTGCTACTGTGAAATGATGTTAAACAAATTCTGCTGTGGGATTTCCAACAATTCTGAATCCAACATGTTCCAATATGGAAACACCCCCTTGAATATTCTATCTTGTCAATTTCGTGCATGCCTGTGCAGAAAACTACTGATGATTTTTCAAGCAACAGGACGCCAAGTCAACATGCCAGAAAAAACAAGGAAACATGATGAAAAAGAGAGGAAAAAACAATGAACAATGATGAACAAGAGAGAAAAAAACAATAAAACATGGTGAACAAGAGAAAAAAAACAATAACACATTACGAAAAAGAGAGAACAAACAATGAAACATGATGAAACAGAGAGAAAAAACAATGAACAATGATGAACAAGAGAGAAAAAAACAATGAAAAATGATGAAAAAGAGAGAGCAAACACTGAAAAATGATGAAAAAAAGGACAAAAAACAATGAACACTGATGAAAAAGAGAGAAACAAACAATGAAACATGATGAAAAAGAGAGAACAAACAATGAAACATGATGAAAAAGAGAGAACAAAAAAACAATGAAAAAGGATGAAAAAGAGAGAAACAACAATGAACAAGTATGAAAAATAGAGAAAAAAACAATGAACAATGATGAAAAAGAGAGAACAACCAATATTAACATGATGAAAAAGATAGAAAAACAATGAAAAATGATGAACAAGGGAGAAGAAGACAAGAAAAAATGATGAAAACAAGTGAAAAAAAATCAAACATAATGAAAAAGAGAGGAAAACACTGAAAAATGATGAAAAAACAGGGACAAAAAACAATGAAAAATGATGACCAAGAGAGAAAAAAACAAGAAACACTTATGAAAAAGAGTGACAAAAAATGAAACATGATGAAAAAGAGAAAAAACAATGAAAAATGATGAAGAAGAGAGAAACAAAAACAATGAAAAATGATTAAAACTGATGAACGTGTTTTTTCATTGTTTTTTTTTATCTTTTTGATCTTTTTTCATTGTTGTTTCTCTATTGTTCATCATTTTTCATTGTTGTTTCTCTATTGTTCATCATTTTTCATTGTTTTTTTCATCTCTTTGTCATCATTTTTCATTGTTTTGTTCTTCTCTTTTTCATCATTTTTCATTGTTTTTCCTCTCTTTTTCATCATTTTTCATTGGTGTTTCTCTATGTTTCATCATTTTTCATTGTTGTTTCCTTTGTTTTTTAAAATGTTTCATTGTTTTTCCTTTGTTTTTCATCATTTTTGATTGTTGTTTCTCCATTTTTCATCATTTTTCCTGGTTTTTTCTCCCTTTTTCATTATGTTTCAAGTTTTTTTCCACTCTTTATCATCATTTTTTCTTGTTTTTTTCTTTCTTTTTCATCATTTTTCATTGTGTTTTTTCCCTCTTTTCCATCCTTTTTGATTGTTTTTTTTTCTCTGCTTCATCTTTTTTCATTGTTTTGTCGCTATTTTTCATCATTTTTCACTTTTTTTTTCCATATTTTTAATCGGATTTCATTGTTTTTTCTCTCTTTTTCATCATTTTTAATTCTTGTTTGTCTCTTTTTCATCATGTTTCATTGTTTTTGTTCACTATGTTTCATCATTTTTCATTGTTTTTCCCTCAATTTTTCATCATGTTTCCTTATTTTTCTACTATTTTTCATCATTGTTCATTGTTTTTCCTCTCTTTTTCATCATTTTTCATTGTGTGTTCTCTCTTTTTCATAATTTTTCATTTGCGTTTCTCTATTTTTCACCATGTTTCATTGTTTTTTTTTTTCTCTGCTGCATCATTTTTCATTGTTTTGTCTCTATTTTTCATCATTTTTCACTGTTGTTTTTCCATATGTTTAATCGGATTTCATTGTTTTTTCTCTTTTTCATCATTTTTCATTGTATTTTCTCTCTTTTTCATCATGTTTCATTGTGTCTTCTCTCTTTTTCATAATGTGTTCTTGTTTTTGTTCTCTCTTGTTCATCATTTTTCATTAGTTTTTTCTCTCTTTTTCATCATTTTTCCTGTTTTTTTTCTATCTGTTTCATCTTTTTTCATTGTTTTTTTTATTTTTTTAAATAGTTTTTCAATGTTTTTCAATTGTTTAATGTTATTTTTGAGATTTGATAAGGCTCAAAAATACGAAAACGGACAAGATAGAATATTTTCGAGACCCTGGCGTGACATGGCTCCAAATTATATATTTGGAAGCCTTCCATTGCGTGGATTTTTTTCCGTATGTTTCATTAATTTTGCTGTATTTTTCATATTCCTGGCGTATCAGATAAAACCAACAATTTTGCTAGGTAAATCCCAAAATATTCAGACTTGTTTCCACCAAGTTTTGCGTTAAAACCGCAAATTGAGGGTGTGAGGTGCGACCACGCGGTGGGCCGGCAACAGCTGTGAATTGCGGGGAGGCATGGCACCAACTGACTTAAACCCAATAAAACCTATACAACCGCTATATTATATATATATATGCACATAAGTATTGTGAAAATCAACATAAGAGCATTTCCACACACACAATGGAAAAAATCCAAGTAATTTGGAGCCATGTCACTAGGGTCTCGAAAATATTCTATCTTGTCCGTTTTTATATTTTTGAGCCTTATCAAAGCTCAAAGCATAACATTAAACAATTGAAAAACAATGAAAAACAATGAAAAATAATGAAAAAAAATGAAAACCAATGAAATAAAAATGAAAAATACAACAAAAACAATGAAACATACGGAAAAAAATCCACGCAATGGAAGTCTTCCAAATATAGAATTTGGAGCCATGTCACGCCAGGGTCTCGAAAATATTATATTTTGTCCGTTTTCAAATTTTTGAGCCGTATCAAAGCCCAAAAATAACATTAAACAATTGAAAACCATTGAAACACAATAAAAAAAATAATGAAAAACAACAATGAACAATGATGAAACAACTAGAAAAAAAAAACAAGGAAAAATGATGAAAAAGAGAGAAAAAACAAATCAACAATCATAAACAAGAGAGAAAAAAACAAGGAAACATTATAAAAAAGAGAGAACAAACAATGAAACATGATGAAAAAGAGAGAAAAAACAATGACAAATGATGAAAAATAGAGAAACAACAATGAAAAATGATGAAAAAGAGAGGAAAAAACAATGAACAATGATGAAAAAGATAGGACAAAACAATGCAAAATAGGGACAAAAAGGAAACATGATGAAAAATAGAGGGAAAAAACAATGAAAAATGATGAACAAGAGAGAAAAAAAAGAAGAAAACATGATGAAAAACAGTGAAAACAACAATGAAACATGATGAAAAAGAGAGAAAAAACAAGGGAGCATGATGAACAATACATGGAAAAACAATGAAAAATGATGAACAAAAGAGAAAAACACAAGAAAACATGATGAAAAAGAGTGAAAAAAACCATGAACCATGATGAAAAAGAGAGGAAAAAACAAGGAAACATGATGAACAATAGAGTGACAACAATGAAAAATGATGAGACATAAAAAACAAAAACAATGAAACATGATGAAAAAGAGATAAAAAACAATGAAACATGCTGAAAAAGAGAAGAAAAACAATTAACAATGATGAAAAAGAGAGAACAAACAATGAAACATGATGAAAAAGAGAGAAAAAACAATGAACAATGATGAAAAAAAGAGGGAAAACCAATGAACAATGATGAAAAATAGAGAAACAACAATGAAAAATAATGAAAAATAGAAAAACAACAATGAAACACACAATGAAAAAATATGAAAAATAGAGAAACAAGAATGAACAATTATGAAAAAGAGAGGAAAAAACAATGAGAAATGATGAAAAAGAGAGGAAAAAACAATGAAACATGATGAAACATAGAGAAGCAAAATGAAAAATGATGAAAAATAGAGAGCCAACAATGAAAAATGATGGAAAAAGTCATTGTTTTTTCTCTATTATTTTTTATTGGTATTTGTGCTTCTTTGTGTTTCATCATTTTTCATTGTTTTTTTCTTCAATTTTTCATCATGGTTCATTGTTGTTTCTCTATTTTCATCATTTTTCATTGTTTTTTTTATCTTTTTCATAATGTTTCATTGTTTTTTTCTCCCTTTTTCATCATTCTTCATTGTTGTTTCGTTTTTTTTCATCATATTTTTTTTCCTATGTTTCATCATGTTTCCTTGTTTGTGTTCCCGCTATTTTTTCATCATTTTTCACTGTTTTTTTCCATATTTTTAATCGGTTTTCATTGTTTTTCCTCTCTTGTTCATCATTTTTCATTGTTGTTTTCTCTTTTTTCCATCATTTTTCATTGTTTTTGTTTTATATTTTTCATTGTTTTTCAATTGTTTAATGTTATTCTTTGAGCTTTGATAAGGCTCAAAAATATGAAAACGGACAAGATAGAATATTTTAGAGACCCTGGCGTGACATGGTTCTAAATTATATATGTGGAATCATTCCATTGCGTGGAAAGGTTTGTGTGTTGATTTCCAAGATATGTGTATATATATATTATTTAGAGAGATATAGATATATAACCGTGGCAGGAGGGAGTCCACTTGGCATGTTGGCTTAGCTGATTTGTAAAAAGAGGTTTTCGCAGCTTTACTGGGATTTACTGGGATTTCCCCCCAATCCCATAATTATCTATACCGACCGGCGAAAAGATCGAATATTCTATCTTGTGATTATTTTAATTTCAGAATAGTCTATCTTGTGGGTGCTAGACCCTGTGTTTTTTGATATTCTATCTTGTCCCGACTAAGAGTACAATATTCTATCTTTCAGGCGGTCGGTATATATATATATATGTACATATTATATAAAAGATAATACGTAGTATATAATATATAACATATATACATTATATTATATATACATTCTATTATATATACATTATATTATATATACATTATATTATATATACACACATTATATTATATATCGTTTATTATTTATATATATATCTAGAAGGAATAAACACATGCATTCGATCCATCCCCAGGTCAGCACACGATTGCTCAGAGCCTTGGATGAGAAGATCACCTGAATGGAGTATATCATTTGGGGAGTAAAAATCGTAGTTTCATATATTGGGGATATTTAAAGTTGCCATATTATATATATATGTATCATATTATATCCAATCATCCCGTTTTTGTAAATTTCCATATTGGGGATGGTAACAACGGCATTCGGTTTACCACATTATTTCATACACCAAAAAAACATCATGTTTATCACAGATTGCTGTAGATGTTCACTTATATTCATCTATGTTTGACCTCATGAAATCCATCATGCATAGATTCTGGGCTTTGCTCTGCCCAGTAGCAGAGCCAGGATTGGCCTAAAAGATCATTTTGAGTGGGGCCACCCTGCATCGACAAAATCGATTGTTGACCCGAAAGAAACTGCCATGGTTTGGGTGCCTTGTAGCACAGTGATTCTGGAAGACAAATCTCTTGAGAAAGCTGATATTGGGAGGTATTGGAATATCATGAATATCCTAGTTTTGTCAGCAAAAAATCATCTGGGATGATCAAACTCTCGTTGTCCTTTCGCCTTTTTTCTGTCAGGAAATCGGTGACCAATCAGAGCACCTTCGATAGCTGCAACGCTCAGAAGCTGACGGACTTGACGCATGCAGAGAACGTCAAGCAGCTGGGCTGTCAGAGATTCCCTGCGCAGATGGGATACCAAGAATATCAACTGATGGGCATAGCATCCGGATGTACCATCATAGATTTTGATCCTAGGAAGCTGCTGTTCGGCATCCTGCACCGCCCCGGCACCAGGATTGGAGTCAACTGGACCGATACCACAGATGCTTACAACGCGCTGCTCGGCTTGCGAAGCTGAGTCTCCCTTCATGGTTTAGGACAAGGTTTGGAGATGAACTCGGGTCCCGAAACGGGCTCTCGGAGAGTTGGGTTCATCAGGAGTTTAAAAGTTGGCTGCACGACCAATGGTGAAGAATTGCACCAACTTCGCCAGGTTTTGCTGGGCAGAGAACAGAAATGACCCTGGGGACTGTGAAATCGATAGAACCTATAGGTTCCCTAGTGGTTCCCTGGGATGAGAGAAATGGATGACTTGCCCAGGTGCCAGGCTGAGTTCCAGGTGCGCCCTTTTTGGGTCGGGTGTATCACCCGGAAATCCTTCAGGTCCAAGGTGATGGACTCGGACTGGACGGGAGTTTGTTGCGCTTCGACCTGTGGGGCCAGGCGATGAACAACACCTTCACCAGTTGCTACCAGCAGGACGGGAGGTATGGATTTGTTTGAACATTCAGGGAAAAAAACAAAGTTGATAATGTTTATCAAAGTTGATAATGTTTATCATTTTACACTGTTCGTGTTCCAATTTTAAGTTTGACAAACAACACTGTTTTTTGGGGATATGTCACATTGACCGTTGTTGGGCTTCGGATCAGTCGATTTTTGCATGAAACCAAACATGTCAGGATGATCCAGTTGGGTGGATTTGGTACACCATGAAACAGGTCCCAGCAGACGACTTCTGTTGTCAGTAAGATTATGAGATGTGAGGTGTAAGATGGGGGAAGGATGGGAATCAATGTGTCTAAAAATGTAGTATAACATAGTATAACTATAACCACCAAAATGGCAGTCTTTTGCTGGGGAAAATGATGATTTAAGCACTGGATGTTCGGGGTACCCGGGGTACCCTATTTTCAGAGAAAATCCAGTGCTCAATAGATGTACCTCCTCCTAAAGATGGGGCACAGGACTGGTGCCTGTTATCTGTTTGATCCAAGAAAGGTTTTTTACTTTTCACTGTCCCATTGTTCCTTGGTTGGGTAGGTTCATGGATATTTTTGTGCATTGGATGGGGAATTTTGATAAGCCAACTATTCATTGACGTGTTGGCAGGCTTCGTGGCTCTTGAACTATACGATTTTTGGATCTTTTCGGATCATCTCCCTATTTTTTGATTCTGTTACCATCTGGTTATTTAACATAGCCATGGAAAAGCATCATTTTTTATAGGTAAACCATCTATAAAGTGGACCATTTTCCATGGCTATGTTAAATAACCAGAGGGTAATGTCATTTTAATGTCATTCTGTTTCCCCCTGTGAAAAAAATCCAAAAAACTCTCAGGGTCTCAGGGTCCAAGATCCCCCATGCTATCACCTGGCAGGAAGAAATGCTGCGTGTGGCGGCCACGGCACGCTGCGAGTACTTTGCATCCGTGGATCGGAGCCTTGAGCCCGATATCCGAGAGGGTCAGGTGTCAACTGCAACATGGTGGGCAAAGGATCAATGGCCATGACGAAAAGGAACCGAAACAAAATGGAGGTACCGATTCCATATATTTTTGGCCTATTTTTCAGGCCTATGTAAGGGACTATCCCCACAAAATATGGCCTGAAAAATGGTACAGTACCTCCATTTTTAGGATCCTGGAATTCCCATTGAAAGGATGAGAAATCATTTTTTGGACACATTCACTGATTTTGAGATTAGGTTTTGAAGGCAAAACCGGGGATTTCACCAGATGAAATGCTGATAATGAGGTTTTGCAACAGGAATGGGGATAAAACAGAAAGAAATGATGTGACATGAATGCTGATTGAGATTCTACATGCTGAATTGGTATTGTGGATTCATCTAGCAATTGGGAAGCTCAATCTGAATCAATCAGTCTCACGCGATGGCACCTGCGAGTTTGAGAGGGTTGAACTGCAATGAACGGCCGCGGGAGCAAGGGGCACTCTTTGAAGTGCCAAACGTAAAGTCCACCTTGTAAGTTGATTCGTAGGACATTACTTCATTGGTAGAGTGATTAGCATCAGAACTTGAGTTGGACTTGTTCTCTTGATGGCAGATACTTTGCCTGGTCACGAACTGAAACAACTGCTACTGCCCGCGGGCTCAGGAGTTCCAATTTTCAGTCCTGGTTCTGTCATGAAGAGTGGCTTGGCTGGAGTGTGAGCAGAGTCCAGAGTTCAAAGTCCACTGAACAACCAAGACTTGTACCAAGACTTGTAAAGAATTGATCTGTGAGATTTTGGGCTGATCCGAACCCGATCTGTAACCTGCTCCTTTCACCCATCCTTCGCTCACCTCGAACACCGCAACGGGGTTCTTGGGTTGTACCATTTCTGGCCAGACATCAGTTGACGACATCACCCCGCACCTCCAAAGATGCTTTGTGGAGGAAACATGAGGAAACCGGTCGTTCCCCATATGAATAACCCGCCAGAAGCCCTGGTGGAATGTGATGCATCCCTTCGTTTTTTTTGCCTCCTTTCACGTGCCTCAGTGACTTTCCAGCGAGCAGCAGCTACGAAGCCTATCTACAGCGAAACATTGAGATGCTGGCAGACTTTAGGACCCTTGGCGGCCGTAGGAGGCGATCAGATCGTGTGGTTGACCCATGGATTCGCAATATTCTGCCTGTGTCCTGAGTGAACTGCCTAGGAATCGACGTGCCAACTGCACCAATGCCACCGCGGCACAAAGTTCCAAGATGTTGGAATGCACTGGATATCAGCAGCAGGCTTCGGCCAAAGAGGTGGGAATGCTGGGAGCCGCGGCAGTTTGAGTTGTTGAACTGGGACTTGGATGTGGTTAGGAATGGTACAGGAGTGGGTAATGACTTGCGTGCACAAATGATCAAATGTACAACATAATATATACTGTATATATATATATACATACGTGTGTGTATATATATATATACATACGTGTGTATATATGTATATGTATATATACATAGCTATATATATATATATAGTAAATATGTATATATGTATATAATTATATATATACACATACATATACATAATGTAACATTTGTACAAAGACATATCTAGGGTTAAAAACTTTTGGAAATAGGTTTGCAACAAGGCTGGTTTCACCACTCAGATGCAGCTGGGTGTTTCTTTTTTCAGTCCTGCTAGGTGATGTGTGCTCATTTGACCCCCTATGCGAACCCGGCGGATTGCAGCTCCTATGAAGCCAAGAAGCAGGTGGGAGCTACCCTGAAGTCCATGATCATATCCACAGGAAACCATGTTTTATCACATATTCAGTGTATTTAGTGGGTTGCTGTAATGGTTCAGGAAATTTCGACACCATTTTTCCCCAACAGCGTAAGCTAATGGGATCTTCAGCCCAGAATAGCTCCGGTGTGGACTGGTGCAGGCGCCGGGTCAGGTTCAACGAGGTTCCGGAGAAGGTTCCGAAGGTTCCGGAGAAGCTCTGGGAGGCTTTGGTGCAGAGCGGTCAGGTTCAACAGGGTTCCGGAGTTCCGGAGAAGGTCTGGGAGGCTTTGGTGCAGAGCCAAGTCAAGTTCAACAGGGTTCCGGAGAAGTTTCCGGAGAAGGTTCCGGGAGGCTTTGGTGCAGATCCAGGTCAGGTTCAATAGGGTTCCGGTGAAGGTTCCGGTGAGGGTTTGGGAGGCTTTGGTGCAAAGCCAAGTCAGGTTCAACGGGTTCCGGAGAAGGTTGCGGAAAAGGAGGTTTTGGGAATCTTTGGTGCAGGGCCGGGTCAGGTTCAATAGGTTCAGCAGAGGGTTTCCAGCGCTTGGCTTTGCAGCACGCTTCAGAAAGACTTGTAAAAATAAAACTTCGCGGCTGTTGGGGATACCACCGAAGCTTATTATTAATGCTTAAGTGAACTCTCGCGGTTTGCTCCTTTACATTCCCTGGGTCACCACCGTACCAGGCCTGTATCAGCTACAGCCACTGCCGGACACAGGTGGGGGTTGCAGAGTGGAGATACCTAGCTGGCTTGTCGATGGGGGACTAAATTTCAAGTGTTTATGTTTGTCTATCATCATTCACCGAATTCAACTTGGAGCTTTGTGCAGCCTATTACTGGAGCCATCTGGTAAAGGCTTCAACCGTAGCTCTGTAGATGTTTGACTGTGAGGTATAGTGTCCGTGAAGTGAGACACGACCAAGTCAGAGTAGTGCAGAAAACAGCTGTTTTCTAACTTCATAGCCGAAATCTTTATGGATGAAAACAAAGTCTTGTTTTCTTGTGAACCATCCAGCTTTCTGAGATCATTTGATGAAAGTGTTGTGCAACTTGTGAGACGCAGTGGAGACTGTCCACAGTTTGGATGATTTACTCATTGATGAACATGACTGGGCAGGGGTGAGGCGACTCCGAAGGATTTAAGACAGTCAAGTGGCAACCACGACCTACTTGTGAGGATCCCAGTGGGTAAGTACTTCAAGGACCTTTGGCTATTGCTGGATAGCCCAGCACATGGGACATGGCTATGGCAATGGCATTAGCATGGCTCTATACTGGATCCTACCCCAAAACCACATGATTCGGTCGCAACCTTTGTCCAGGCCCAACACGAAAGTAGTAGTGCGGCAGCCACCGCTGATCAATTGGCAGAGAGCCTCAAGGTGACGCGGCAGGGATTTTGCGGGCTCCGGTTGCAGCTTGAAAAACTTGAAAATCACCCAGAAACATGGATGAAATCAGCAATAAAAACATGATGATGTCAGTGATGTCTTTAATTTCCAGGGGAGATTTTCAGGGGGGTGCTCTCTCGTATTATAGGATGTGTTCTGGGCAGGTTGCAGCGGGATTAGTGACTATTAGATGATCTGGTAGGGACTGCAAAAAATGGCACCGCATCTAAATGTAAGACCCAAGGAAACCAGAAATGTGGAGCATCCGCAGTTGCGTGAGTGGTAAATTTGGGAGGAGTTTTGATTGAACATAGTGGAACATCTCCACGTTATCGTGAAGCGACTTGAACTTTTGGAGGATTTTCTTGGTACCTCCAGTGCGGTGAGCAAGATTGTGCACCCTTATGAACTTTGGAAATATCCAAGTTCTGTTTCTTCATTTGCATTTTCTCAGGGGAAACATGGAATGCCTCCAAATCCGTTTACGATCTCAGAAACAATTCGTTTTTTATTGATTGTTTACCCATTTTGAATCATTTTGATCCATTGATTTTCTGATCTTCGTCATAACGTTTTGATTTGCATGAACTTTTGTGCGGTGCCTCACCATCAACTGATCTCAACTGCAGTGCTTCAGGTGCAGTGGGAAGGCCTGAAACGCATCGAATGCTTGCTGGATGTGATCTCGAAATCTGGGGATGCTGCAGCCATGGAGGCCATGGAGAGCAAGCCCGTGTCAGAAACTTTACCTAGTTTGCGTATGTATGTTTGTATACATGATATGATATAAAATGACATAATATAACATAATATAAACAGTATAATTTAATATAACATAATATATACTATATATATACACATATCACACATTTTTTCTTATATATGTAATATTATTATAGTATAATATAATATAATGTAATGTAATGTAATGTAATGTAATATAATATAATACAATAGAAAAAACTATAATATATATTTATGACAATATAATATAGTGAAATTATATATTATACTTATATGAAATATGATATTACATATATCTATAATATCATAATCTAATCCAATATGATAGAATATAATAAATATATATATTATACTTATATAGAATATAATACAATATTATATATAATACTATAATATAATATAATATTATATATAAAATTATCATATAATATACTATAATATTATATATAATATCGTAACTTAATATAATATTATATATAATATCGTAATATATTATAATATTACATATGTAACATTACACTATAATCTAATATGATATAATACTAAAAAATAATATATGATACTTATATATAATATAATATTATATGATATAATATAATATTATATATGATATTATAATATAATGTAATATAATATAATGATACAATATGATAATAATATAATAATAATCATAATACCACTATTTATATATACCTATATATACATATCAGATGTATTTTACTTATATATACTTATATATTTACTATTATAATATAATATAATATAATATCATATAATGGAAAATAATATACTATACTATAACACATATATATTTATGATAATATAATATATTATATTATATTATATTATATTATGTTATATTATATTATATTATGTTATATATAATACTATATTTATATATACACATTAGTTCGTCCTTACAGCGACAAGCCATCCTTCCAGGCTTGCGTGGCGGCCGGGCACGATACCTCGCCGCTGAACATCATCGTCCCAGCGGTGCCCACAGCGCAGCCCTGTGACGCGGGCCTCGCGCCTGCGGGATGTGCCTGAGCACTGACTTTCCCTGGGAAGTTGATCAAAAAAAGAGGGATTTTGATCACAAAAATTGGGATGATCACTGTTTATTGTTGATCAAAAGCCTGGGATATTGTTGATGATTTTTTTGTCATTATAGTCATTTAAATGTGATTTTAACCATGAAAATATTGGGATACTAGTGGATATAACTGATAAATGATGATTGGTTGATGATTGGGGATTATACTATACTTTTCATATATTGGGGATTACAATAATCCAATAGAGGAATCCCTATAAACCAACGAGTATAATGAATGGAATGATAGAGGGATTTTGAACAAAGTTCGTCCAAAGTGGACCCCAAGATGAAGCCCCAAAAAAAGAAGACACTACTACTGTTGATGGGCTAAAATATGGGGGGGAAACGCCTGGTTGTTGGGGATGTTTATAGTATCTGTCCATAATGAGGATAACTGGGTCCAGCCAGTTTGACGACACAGAGACCTGTTTTTTTCGACCTGCAGAGACTGCAGCTAGAAGCCGATTAGATCAGTGGATGTTCCTTCTCCGTCATCCACTTGGAACACAGTTCCACTAGACAGCTAGCATCGAGTGCACAGAACTGCGCTGCAAAAGATGTGCTGCGGATTGTGCAGATGTCCATGAACCAGATCAACCTTCCCCCCTAGGCCCGCAACAACCCTGGTTAGTAATTTGTTTGTTTTTGGATGCCATAGTAGATGTATGATCGCCAGATGAGATTTTTTGCGCCAAAGGTGACCCTTTCAACAAATCCCGCTGAGCCTCTCCCTCTGCTGGCAAGCTTTTTGCTTACCAATCTTACCACATTCTCTGCTAGCGTGCATTCTGCCAGTGAGATTCATGGACGGTGTCTCGGACCGGAACACCAGTAGTACATCGCAACAACGACACGAAGGTAATCACTTCTCAACCTGGATTAACAGATGTCATCCGATCCGAAGAAACGAGCGCAAAGGCACCGTAGGAGACGCTTGGGGTGTCACTGCCATCCCGGACACGAGTCGCGCAGACCTTTACATGGTTGGGAGGATATCCTATCCTGGCCGGTGGATTGCAGGGGAATCGTTGTAAGACAAACATCATGTGCTTGCTGCGAAATGCTGCGAAATGCGTGACGCTTCATTCATTGCACAGAACTTCGCGATTCACGGGACAGCGACACGATTGAAACAAAGAACAGCTGCCGTCGTGTCACTTTCTCATGAGACGACGACTTGTTGATGCTCCATTGAACATGGAGCGCTTGGTTCCCACCGAAGTGGGAACCCTTGGAACTCCTGCGTCACCTGGTTCGTTTCACACACATCCCCGAAAACCACACAGTTGATATGGTGACTCTTCCCGCGGTGGGAAAACAGGAAGGGGACCATGAACTCCTGAAAACTTGCAACTTTGCTCGTTTTGTAAGGTGAGATCTTGTGGTTGCGGGGTATGCGTCTTGTGGTCAGGAGGATTTGATTTATATAATTTATATATAATACTAATTTCTTTCTGTGTGGGCGCATGCTGCCATGCTTTCAGTGGTTTGTTCAGCACACTGAAAGGCAGTCGTGAATATTAGAAATGGTGAAGCGACGAAAACACATATCAGCAACAAGACATGCGTGCATTCTGCCTGGCGTTTTGGACACCTTTCCAACTTTGTTCAGCATGGTGGAACTTTTTTGCGGGTTGTCCGAAAGTGATGTTTGATACTGTTGATACTGTATCATATGTTTTCATGCACAAGATAGGCACTGTTCTGGAGAAAACATTTTCAATCTTTTCGACGCCTAAGAACCGTATGGCGGGCCCCTTTAAATCACTTGTAAGGCACAGGCGCATAAAAAATCATGCGACCTAGAACATTAAGCCAACATCATTTGCGTATTCATGCTGCGTACAGTTCAACCTTGGGTGTCGATTTGGGAATGCTGAACTATTCGAAGTCATCCAAGCGCGGTCCAAGCGGGGTCTGGAAGGGGGAAAAACCTGTTGGCCATCGGACGTTTGCCGCCGGAGCAACGTACGCGCGCAAACGGGAAAAAACCTGCAAACGAACGTCTTCAACGCAGGATTTTTTTTTGCCTGTGAAAATTCGTATACAAAATCAGTGGGCAACACAACTTTTTGGTTTCTAGGTCATTCCCTTCTTTTTGGTATATCTTTGTTTTAATGAACATTTTGAGACTTTCCATATCCAGACACTGCATTACCTCTTTATCAATGTGGTTTCAACGAGCGCTGCCCCGACGTTTTGGAGACGATGTTGGTGTGACCGTCCTTAGGGCTATCGACATCACCCACAGCTACACCGGAATTTGCGCGCGTGATGCTGGAAGCACGCGCCCTTGGACAACAACTCGCAAAATGCAACCATAAATATCGACATGACATGCAATTGTGTTTGGAGTCGTGCTGGTCGTGGTACGCAACGAACTTTGTTTAGACTATTTTTTTGGTTGTAAAAATGTATTCACCCGTTGCGAAAAGGTGCTGCCAAGATCTCCGCAAGATCTTGTCACAAGGACCTCTGCAAGATCTGGACCAAAATCTTCATATCGAGACCGTTAAAACAATCGCACAAGATTGCCAAAGAAGGACATTCCAGAAATGACCTTTATGTAAGATCCTTTTCATAAGAGCATCCCACACGAGATTCCACACAAGCACCTCTACCACACATGATCTCAAAGATCTTGTTGCAAAGGTTTCCGAGAGAGAATTTCGCAAGGATTTCCGCAAAGACTTCTGCAAGATTATGCGCCGATGTCTAAAACCTCCAAGAGCGCACGTTTCGAGAATCGCACGATCGTCGTAGAAAAACACCAAGAACTTACCTTTTTAGCCGGATCCTTGAAAATCAACCAAAAAGAACCCCGCGCCACAAGGAAAGAAATTCAAGGGAAAGTTGCGCGAACGATATCAAAATGATTATGGTGCTACAACGATAGTGATTCGACACAAAGTGACGAGATGGTCATCAAGTACCGCCACGAAAATGTAAGTTGAAGAGTTGAAGACGTCCGAAATCGATGCGATGCTCTTCATGATCTTCATGGGGTGGGACGTTAGAGTTTTGCGAACCGTACCTGATCATACCCCGAATCGAAACCCATCAGAGCAGGCCACTGTGGGAGTGTTTGCCCAATGCCTTTTTGTACTTTCTAACAGCCTTTCATCATTGCACGGGTGTATGCATTATCAATTAGCTGGTGCTTCAACAGAATTGTCGTGACAAATTAGTTGTTATATTGTTGATCGCGCCGCAGAAAAAATATTCAATATCTTTTCCTTGGCAATGGATTTTGCGTCTCTTGCAGGAGAAACAACTCAAAATTAGTGAGGCCGAAAAACAACAAAAAAACAAAAAAACGAAACCAAATTATCAACAAAACACAAACAACAAAAAAACAAACTCCAAGGGGGCAGGATACAGAGATTTGGGTCCTGTATTTATTTGGTTCGGGGGTCTTGTATGCCTAGAGAGGTGGTATGTAGCAATTTCTCTACGTTTGCCCCTGCCCAAAACGGAGGATGGGTTCGGTACTGCCCGTCCCGTTGTCCCGTTCCCGTTGTCCCGTTGTCCCGTTCCCGTTGTCCCGTTGTCCCGTTGGCCGTTCCCGTTGGCAGTCAGAGAGCTGCAGCTTGGAGAACCTTTGCATTTCGAAGGCATTTTGGTAAAAATGAGGTTCGATAGCCAAAAACTGTGGTAAAATTGCGATTTGCACGCGTCCGGCGCAACCCTTTCGCACGAAATGAGGTTTGATCGTCCAAAACTGGGGTAAAATGGTACTTCTGTGTGTAGAAAAGTCTGTGTAAAAGTGTCTGTGTGTAAAAGCTCCTGTGTGTAAAAGCTTCTGTGTGCAAAAGCTTCTTTGTGTAAAAGTTCCTGTGTGTAAGCGCTTCTGTGTGCAAAAGCCTCTGCGTGTAAAAAGCTTCTGTGTGCAATAACTTGTGTGTGCAAAAGCGTCTGTGTGTAAAAGCTTCTGTGTGTAAAAGCTTCTGCGTGTAAAAGCTTCTGTGTGTAAAAGGTTCTGTGTGTAAAAGCTTCTGTGGGTAAAAGTGTCCGTGTGTAAAAGTGTCTGTGTGTAAAAGTGTCTGCGTGTAAAAGTTCCTGTGTGTAAAAGCGTCAATCTTCTGTGGGTAAAAGTGTCTGTGTGTAAAAGCGTCTGCGTGTAAAAAGCTTCTGTGTGTAAAAGCTTCTGTGGGTAACAGGTTCTGTGTGTAAAAGCTTCTGCGTGTAAAAGCTTCTGTGTGCAAAAGCTTCTGTGTGTAAAAGCTCCTGTGTGTAAAGGCTCCTGTGTGCAAAAGCGTCTGCGTGTGAAAAGCTTCTGTGTGTAGAATCTTCTGTGGGTAAAAGTGTCAAAAGCTTCTGTGTGTAAAAGCGTCTTTGTGTAAAAGCTTCTGTGTGTAGAATCTTCTGTGGGTAAAAGTGTCAAAAGCTTCTGTGTGTAAAAGCTTCTGCGTGTAAAAGTTTTTGTGTGTACAGGCTTCTGTGTGTAAAAGCGCTGTGTGTAAAAGCTTCTGTGTAAAAGCTCCTGTGTGTAAAAAGCTTCTGTGTGTAAAAGTTTCTTTGTGTAAAAGTTCCTGTGTGTAAACGTTTCTGTGTGCAAAAGCGTCTGCGTGTAAAAAGCTTCTGTGTGCAATAACTTGTGTGTGTAAAAGCGTCTGTGTGTAAAAGCTTCTGTGTGTAAAAGCTTCTGTGGGTAAAAGTGTCTGTGTGTAAAAGCGTCTGTGTAAAAAAAGCTTCTGTGTGTAAAAGCTCCTGTGTGTAAAAGCTTCTGTGTGCAAAAGCTTCTGTGTGTAAAAGCTCCTGTGTGTAAAGGCTCCTGTGTGCAAAAGCGTCTGCGTGTGAAAAGCTTCTGTGTGTAAAAGCGTCTGTGTGTAAAAGCGTCTTTGTGTAAAAGCTTCTGTGTGTAGAATCTTCTGTGGGTAAAAGTGTCAAAAGCTTCTGTGCGTAAAAGCTTCTGCGTGTAAAAGTTTTTGTGTGTACAGGCTTCTGTGTG